TCTATGCCTTTCTCCTTAGTGAATGGGTCAGTTTGTCTCCAGGCCCGGCTTAAAAAGAAAAGCTGTGATATTATCAGTCTGGCCTTTTGATTTCATTGTCTATTTAGGTTCATTTTAACCACATGCTAAAATCATGAACTTAATTTTGAACACCTAAGAAATCCTATTCATTTTAGAACAGGTAACCTCATATTTGAAATTGTTTAAGCATACTGTTATGGACCTTTTTTACAAACATTCCTAAGTTTGGCATGTAGAAGACTTGATGAGGTCTCATAAAAAAATGTATGTGACCATCAGATTGATTTTTGTGCACAGGTGGGATTAGACAAGAACATACTAATGTAAGCATTTGTAGTACTAGTAGATATCTATCGTATCTACTCTGGCCTGGCAATAGTATTTATTAATTTACATAGGGGAAAAGGAAACTATGCTTTAATGGTGGCCTCTGAGCACAGCTTCACACACACGAAAAAAGAAAAATAGAAATATCAGGACTATAGAGGTACAATTAAAAGTCTTCTAGCTGCTACTGAAAATGCAACTATAGAAAAGTTTCAGGAATAAAAATTCTGTTACTCGGAAAGACTGTCAGTGACCATGAGATATTAATCTCCCCCAGCGCTCTCCCTTAGACAGGCTACAGCAAGAACCTATATCTCACTCAATCATTATCCAAGCCCATCTTCTCTACAGTTTTGGGCATTGAGTGCTACAAGCAATCTTATTTAAAAAAAGGGTGATGTATTAAAGACGCCTCAACCTCCTCCAGCGTCACATCTCCTCTTTACCTATCTAAATGCAGACTACCCAGGAATAAAGTCATGTCAATACGGTGAAAGGACTGGGACGGAGACCCGCAGCACAGGGTGTACACGACCCTAGGGTAAGCGATGGGTCTTGCCTCAAGGTGCCATGCTCAGCTAGAAGGCTGAGACGACAGCAGCCCAGCAGAGCACCTCTGCTATCAGCCGGGCAACTGGAGGAGACACCGACTTCGGCTTGGAGCAGAAGACCAGATTTCAGGCTTAGACCAGGCAAGCCTGGGGACATGACCAGCGAAAGCTATAGCTGTCCATCCTTCCACTCGCTTTCCTGCTTGTGAATACCTGTCAGGAGTGAGACACAGTTGGCTTTCAGAAGGTCCCTTTGGTTGGCCCTGACGGGCGAGTGGCCCTGGCAGCAGCAGGGCTGGTTGCAGCGGGCAGGCGACTCAAGCCACCTCCTCCTATAGGACCACACGTAGAGGCCCCTGCAGAGCGCGTATAGAAGACCGAGGCAGCGCGAATTCACCCGTGAGCTGGCAGGGGGCTAATTCCACCAGACAGACAAGGTCCAGGCTGTGAAAAACAACCTACAATAAATAATGCAGTAGAAACTGCATTATTTTTTCACATGGTCTGATGAGTTTCAAATTCTTGTTACTGGTATCCCATCCAAAAATGACAAGGACCACTGGCTTCCTTAATTAGTATTGAGACAAAAAAAGCTAAGCTGCACATTTGTCTTTTCTTCCTTGTTTAATTTTTCTTTGAATAAAGCTGAGCAGTGAATGTCAGACAGGAGTTGCACAGGAATGAGGAGTAGTTTTATTCCGTAGCATTACTCCAGTAACGCCAGTACAATCAGGCTCAGTTTGGCTTTTCCTTGAGTATTTTCTTTCTGCCCTCACATTTGCCTCCTCTAAGAGATCCATAGCTAACTTTTTTGAGAATTCACTTCTTGGAAGCATCAATCAGACCCCCTCAAATTAGTACTAGTAAACATTAAAAATGAAAAGTGTAAAGCTCTATGTTCAACCAAGCTCCAAGTTGCTAAAATAACTGTGAAAGCAACAATGAAGATAAAATTGCATGAACAAAAGAAAATGCATTGTCAGAATCATTCTGCTATAGAGACATTCCTACATCCATTGCAGCTTCTGAAGACAAATATACAACTGCCTGGGGAAGCTACGCTGAGCGGCACTGCTGCAAAATCACATCTGAATTTGCAAACGAATGTGGCTGTTAAAGCTCAAGTCAGCTTAGAAATAAGAGCTGAAATCCTTCACTCTCTTTCTCTTAGTCATTCTCAATGGAAGAAGAAATCAAAACAATTGCAAGTGTGATCATGCTGGTGTGAACGTTTTGGAGTGACTGATGCTGAGAACCTTTAGGATTGCTACTACCCTTCCTGCCTCTGCAGGGCTCACCAGAGTCAACTGGAATAGCTCCTTCCAGAAGCCTCATCTTGTCCTTGCTGCTGCCCCTTGAAGAAGAAAATATCTATTTTTCTCTTAATATGCTTTATTAAAGTGCCAGCATTGATTGAGAATGGACATATAACACATATGGTGATTTGGTAGGTCTGGGAGAATACTCACATACAGCAAAATGAGAATCAATCATCACAGATACAGGAAAGATGAGCCCTGATCAGCCTAAAGGGGAAAGAAAAGGAAGGCGCATGGATGCTGCCTGGCACCTTTAGATAGGATTAAATCTTTGCAGCATTTTGAGCCAAAATGTGTTCAGCCTGGTGGGTGGGCGGGTCAGGGGTTTTTATATACATTGCATTTTCTATGTTTATCTTTGTAATGTTTCTATGTGTAGTCCTTATGCTTTGGGTTAGTATTCTGTGAAGCTACACTTCTAGTGATACATTTTGCAGATAAAGAACCCCTCAAAGCTGTCAGAAACACTGCTGATAAAGAAAAGTTACTGCCAGAGGTACAGATATGTGATAACCTCTCTCACTCTCACCACAGTTTCCAAAGAGCTCAGCAAAAATGTTCTACCCCAAGCCACAGAAAGAAGAGGAATAGGACATTATATGTGGATAATCATTTTAAGTGGCTCTTTATTCATTTATGCACCTCTCATATACTGGTGATTGAGGAAAATATCCCTTTATTCCTCCCCAACTAGGATTGATGTGCTGTAAATTCTGAAACTTGTACTGGGCTCGTAACGGTGCAAGTCTCTGTTCTAGCAGAGAGAAGCTGGTTCAAGAGGAGTTAAAATGTCTGTCCCTGCTGGTTCCTTTTTGTTGGCTCCTGCACGCTCCCGCTCCCCAGGGGCTTTCCCAAGCGCCGCGCTCCTCCTGGAGTGCTTGCCCTCCGTCTGCACCTCTTCCTTCCGCTCCTTGCTGGTTCCTTACTTTCTGTCTGTTCTTCACTCTTGAAATCCTCATCTTTCTCCTTGCCAAGGCAATATTTTACTGAATGCTGTGTTTCTCTATCATTTTTATTAATTGATAGTTGTATTATGGGAAGGAGGGCAGGGAGCAGCTTGCTCTGCTTTCCTTGGCTAGCTCCAGTTTTAAGACATTGCAGTTCACAGAATGCCTTTTGGCACAACATTACATAGGCTCTGTTATATGGGGTTGACTAACCCTGTGTAAGAAGAACAAACACATTAGTCATATGAACAGTGAAACAGTAGGAAATGCTGAACTCTCACTGTCCCTGTCCCCTTTCACCCTCCATTCTCTCTAAATCTCACCAGTGTGAAGTATGTCTTGAAAAGCACAATATGTGAAATAGTGTCGAGCAGACATTGAAGGTCTCTGTCCTTAAGACAAATTGTCTATGACGCCGATGCATTTCAGTAAACTCCCCAGTCACTTTTGGGATTATTTGGCCTGCATTGTCTAACACTCCTTCAGTGCACTAACCACATAACACTACTTGAATCCATGAGGAGAAAGTGGACTCACAGATCCATAGTTCAAAGAACAGAAGTTGGGAAGTGAATTTTTACCATCCAATAGTTCTTACAAAGAAGCATAGCATAGCTGATCTGTCAAGCTGGTTTTGATGAATATGATGTTTGAGGTTTTGATTTGTTTCGCGATGCTACAGCCTTCTTTCTCCAAAGAAATCGTGTTCTGCACCAGGCACTGTGCGCTCCGGGTGGGCCTGAGCACCGCCGACTAAGGGGCTGTGACAGTTTTCCCGAGTTCTTCACTACCTCTGTGCTACTTATAGCAATGTCCTGTAATGGCCAACTATGTTTTAATGCAATTTTCTTTTAAAAGGGATGTTTTTCAGCTTCTGGAGAAGCCAATCCTCTTGTCTGCAGATCTGGATTTTGCAGAGGTTTTCAACTGGCAGTTGACAAGTTGTCAGCCATTCCAGCCAAGCTAGGATCTCCTAGATTTAGAGGTCCTCAAAACAGTTTGACTTTGATGCATTATCTATATGTTGGCTGGATCCCAGACGACTGGTATCTGCACAAGATCTTCCTCTGCACCGTTCAGGCTGGTGCATCCTCGTGCTGGGTTTCCCACAGAGCTTTGGGAGGCCTCAGAATTGAGCATCGGCGCTGCCCGGGCTGCCTCGTTGATGCTGATGGGTGAGCAGAAGCTCTCCAGGTCTTCTCGGGCTGCTGCGGACTCCCTCGCCTGGCCTGCCGCCCCTCCTGCCCTGCGTCCGCAGCGCGAGGCAGCTCCGGCCCGGGCAGCGCCAGCGGAGCGCTCCCGGGAAAGAGGAAGCACAACCATGCCCAGGGTTGCAACAGCTTTAATCATGGAAAACTGCCCACCGGCAGGACTGGCAACATCCCACATAGATGGGATCCCACAGATTTACTTGCCTTAAAATGCCCCACGGTCATTGCAATATCAGATTTATTTTTAACAAGAGGAATTATTTTATCCTCACAGATACAAGTGCACGTTACCCTCAGGTAGGAGCAGCGGGCCAAGGGCAAGTGGCAGGGCATGCCCAAGGCTGCAGAGAGATGCCGAGACGAGTTTGGGCACTGAGAGCCCAACATCAGCCCTTTTGTCACAGCAGGAGCAATTTGCAGACTCCCCTTTTGTGCACGTGCATTTGTAAACATACAATTCACTTCTTTTTACCTGTAGGGATGGGGCATTTTGTTATTGGCTTGCTTGACGCTAAATCACACAATGAACAGAATATGGAGGTAGCTCAGTATTTACAAGAATTAATCTGAAAAGAGGTTCAGTTGAAGGCACTCAGATGCCAAGAGATATTAAATTAAACGAGATTTTATCATGTATGTAATTATTTATTGAGCTGAGAATCCATACAAGGTAAACAAATGTTTACATTATCATACAGTAAGCATTTCCAGGGCTTAATAAAAATGATTGTCACTCACTGTGCTTCACAAAAAAATTCATTTTAATGAATAAATAATTTGATGAAATCAAAAAATATTTACAATATAAACAAATGGAAAAGCTTTGGATATATTAATCTGAGCATCCTGTATTTTGCATTTTCTAATTGCATTTCTATCAAGATCTCTCTGAAATGGTACAAAGTGGATAGAAATTACAACTCAACAAAGTTAACATGATTTGGTATGTGTGTTTTCATTAGTTCAGATAAGCTACATATAATTCATTTTTATGCATGTGTTAAAATACAAATATAACTAAAATCATATATTATCAAAATGCCAGACAGCATTCTCCACAGAACAGAAATGTACACTAGGCTGTGACAATAACTGAGAATCACAGGCAACGAAATATAACAGAAAAGTACAAATTCCTTCATAAGAATATAATTGTGCTCTCTTATTTACCAGAGGACTATGCTGCTTCACCACATCGATGGCCATGTATGAAGACAGTGTTCAACAACTGCCATGTGCCTTGGTGTAGGTTCGTATGGGTGCCAAGCAGCCGCAGGAGAGTGGAAAATGGGCAGTGCAAGCAGTTTTATAAACATCCTTTTTTTCGGGCTCTTAAAAAGAGCCAATTATACAAAGCAGTATAAGCATTACAGTGAGAAGTCTTCATCTCATTTACACAGATATCATGGAACAACTTGCTTTGTTTGTGGAGGTGACAGGAGGAGTTTGGTCTGCGCTGTTCATGCCGTCAGCCAGAATTCAAGTATTCCAAAGCCACTTCATAGCAGAATTTGTATTGATCCTGAAAAATCAAAAGAAAACCACAAAGTCGGTTATTGAAGGATCTTAATTAAGGGGCCCGATAGTTCTTGTCTGTTAAAATTATTTACTATCAGCAATAGTCAAGGGGAACCAGTTGGCAAATCCAATTTCTATTCGGATAAGAAAATCTATATAGTAACCAGACAACACATTAACTTACAGTAGTGCTCCTATTAGATATGTATTTAGCTATTCGTGGAAGAAGAATTGACTACGCATAAACAAACTGACTCGCAACCCTTCAGTCATCTGTCTAAAAGCTCACGTGGTGCTTTATCAGAATTGGAGCTACTGAAATCCCTCTCCAGAAATGTTCACCTTAAAATAAACCAAGTCTCTAGGACTTTGCCATTGGCAGCTTTAACAAACTCAGTACCTTGCAGGCGAACGGGCTGTTCACGGTTCCTCCTGACTGAGATTCACCCTCACTGGCCCCTTCCACTGCACAATGTCAACCCCGTGCTAACTAACTGAGGATTTGTCAATTCTAAGTAAGTCCCTCAAGTTCTCACACGTCTTCTCCTATTTCATTCATACTACTCTGACAGTATTTAGCAATGCTAAAAACTTCTAAATGAAACAGAAGAGCTGAAGTAGTACGTGCAGGTCCCCTGAATCCAAGTGCTCTGTTTTGTAAGAATTCAGTTGGGAAATAGCTACCAGCTTTGTAACTAATTCTGTCCTTGAAATGCCTCTCTCTGATGCACTTTAATAAAACATAACTTGGCATCTACTGTTGTGTAGTAACAACAGAGTTAACTAGCTGATAGGACTCATCCTTCGCCTGAGTATCACAAGCAGAAAGATTCATTCAGATATATTCTCCTTTTCAGATATATTCTCCTTTTGACTGGTGTGAACATTTCAGATGATTCAGTCTCTTAGCCCAGTAAGTGATACTTGCCGCTTTGGGTCATGTTTTAGATGAGAAGAGGGTGCACCTTAAAATTTAAAAGCCTAATTCAAACTACAATAATAAAAAAGCCAGAAACCAGAATGGGCAGTTTCATGGCAGCTGTCACTTTAAAAGAAAACACAGGTTAGCTGCTTATATTGCCTAAGTTGTGAGTGAGATGTTTGTTAAGTTTCAGGATCCTGCGGAGTCCCATAAACAGCCCGTGTATTCTTTCAAATGAGGGAAGAATAAAAGAGATGAAAGAAAAGAAAGAAGCATTCTATAAAAAGAATCCTTTCTGCTTTTATTGCAAGTATGTTTCCAAATAAATGGCAATCGTTCTATAATTATGTATTAGAGAACAAAATGAGATCAGCCATGCATCCATTTCCATTTTTCCATGCTTAGTTTATAGTGATATATATACTGATCTAAGAAAATTTCTGTCATTTTTAGTAAAACCCACTGCTGTCTTATGGAACAGACATTATTATTTCCCATGGTGTTCACTCGTGTGAGTCCTTTGTGCATTTTTATTATTCACTTGATGTGTATTAGAAGTCTCTCTCTGTTAGCTCCCTTCAGAGAGGAATAGTAATCTTTCGTGGGACACGCACTGGTAGATCCGAGAGCATGTCTTGCAAAACTCTTTGCAGACAAAACTGCTTGCAAAACTGCAGCAGAGACTTTGCAATACCTGCACTGCTGCCTTTGGCTGACGGCTGTGGAATTTCATGGATTTTCTATATTGAATGGATGTGACATTTA